GGAGATTTGAGGGCTCAAGGTGAGGTGTCAGTGACTGTGGAAACCCTTACTTCCTCTCCTGGTTGATTATTTTCGTGTGTTGTGAACGTATATTTTCCGTCTTGCACTGTATGAGAGATCAGAGTGTGTGTTAGTGTAGTGTGTAGTGTTAGTCTGCTTTATTCATGTTGAATGTTTGAGTGATGTGCGTTTTCCCCTTCCATTTACATTAGGGCTGGGTGATGTTAAATATTGATTATTTACAGCATGTTCATATTGATTTAGCTGGTTATTTGACATTATGTAACGCTGTGAGTAGCATAAAGCAATAAGCCCTGTGAAGCCGTGGTTTACAGTGAATTTATAACAGCTAAGGGGGTTCGGCGCTTCGCGTCGTGCCTAACAACGCCCCTTAGCTGTTATAAATTCACTGTAAACCACGGCTTCACAGGGCTTATTGCTTTTATAAAACGGTTATTCCATATACGTAGTAAGGTTTCACAAAATAAAACGGAGCAAATAAAGTGTAATGATATAAATAAAAACAGTATTCTTCCACCAAACAATGTAGTTCCTCAGAATCAGTTGTGGTTGCAACAAAGTGTAATTTACAACAGCGTTGAACGTGGCTCAGCCAATTAGAATCAAGGACCGTAACTATCCATTTTATAAAAATGATTTTAATGTACTTTATTTGACCAGAGAGCATCATTAGAGTAGTAGTAATGGCTTTTTCGAGTGTTAATAAATATTTGGCAATAGCGTCTTTGAATAAAAGTGGCAATGTGACTTTAAAAAAAAAAATGTATAAAGATATTTTAGTTTATTACTAAATTTAATATCACATTGCATATAACTAAAATTCATTTAGGTGATAAATGGTTGAATTAGATTTCCACCAAAAGATCAATCTAAAAGAATCTCAATTCTTTCTTAAAACATGCTTGCTGTTGGTTTTTAATAGTGATTCTTCTGATTTGGAAATGTTGAGCTATTATTTCAGGGCTCCAGACTGCGACTAAAATGGTCTCATCCAAAAATCTAAATTTGCGAGTGATATATTTGCTGAGATCGCCACTGGCGTCTATATAAATTTACATGTTATGACTCATGCCTTTTTTCCTGATTGTTTTGAGATCACATCTTTTGTTATGTTGACGTAATAAACGGAGACGATGCGCATCAAAGATTTAGTGGGAAAACAGTCCTCATCTCTGCCGAACACCAGCGCTGACGGCACACCTGCTAAAAGCAGCTCCAGTTCTGGCAGCTTGAGAGAGATCGAAAATGACGGAGACGTGCAAAGTAAAAGTGCAGAAAAGCAGTATCAATTTCGTGAACAAACTACAACAGGTAAAGCCGTCAGCTGTGTGGATATTAACAAAATCGTTGATGATTCTCGTTTATAATCGATACTAATATGGCTTCTTGTTATCAAGATCTTTAGTCTGTATGCTGTTCTGTTAATGCTTGAACTTCATATTATTTGTAGCGCACTTGCCGTCCAATAAACACAATAAGCTTTGTGATTTGTTGCCTTTTAATTAACAAAGTATCAGCTTGAAATTTCTGCCAAATTCATAACGAAATTCAAACATGCGGCACGTGAACCCATCATATCTTTCTCTTTACTACTGTATGAAGTAAACATGAATAGACATCAAAAGGTATATTATAAGAGAGCCTACAGTACAACTTAATGAAATGTCTCATGGAAACGCTCATTCAGTGGTTCAAACTGGAGAACGTGTAAAGCTTGTAAACAATGCCACGTAAAAATACATTTACTTCAGAATAACCATTCGGTGTCCATAAGCTCATCAGTCAGCTGGAAAAATAACTTTAAAGAGGAGCATTTTGCTAGATATGTGCACTATAATGCATACTAATATTTTTACTCAACCTGTTGTCTACATGATAAGAAAGGTACAATTCAACACATCCTATATAATGGTGTGTTACTAATGAAGAAAAACAGACTGGATGTGTGCAAAACATATGACAGCATTTATAGGATGCATTGAGGAGGAGCCCAAACTACACTCAAGGGGCAAGTGATGCTTACATAGAGTCTGTGCCAATATCACAGACCACAACTGTGTATTAAACAATTCTTTGTGACTGTATATATTTTTCATGTTGGAAAATACATTTAGTTCCCTCTTTAAGTGAACCTTAGTTCCCAGGATGTCTACAAGATGGATTAAATGCTGATGCTGTAAAAGGAGGGGAGACATAAACGCATGACATTATGACTGAAATGTTAAGGTGTTCAAAAAAAAGAAAGAAATAAAACATGTTTATTTTGTGGCACTTGAAAATATAATTTGGCACCTATTTTGTGTTACTTATTTTTTTAGTTTTTGGTCTGGAGCCCTGATTTAAAAATACCAAGATAGGATCTACTGTTCAAAAGTTTAGAGTCAGTAATTTTTTTTATTAAAAAAAGGATGCATTAAATTGATTAAGTGATAAAGACATTAAAAATTGTACCAAAGATTTCTATTGCTAATAAATACTGTTCTTTTAAACTTTCTTTTCATCAAAAAAAAAAAATAATAATCTAGCATCAACACTTTGAGCTTTGCATCACAGGAATAAATTACATCTTTGAATATATTAGTATTTAATATTAAAAAAAAATGTAATTGTAATATTTCAAAATGTTTTTTTTTATTGTATTTGTAATCAAATAGATGCTGACTTAGTGAGCATAAAATATATATATATTTAAATTGGAAAAATATTATCAATCCCAAACTTTGTGTATATTGAAAATAATAACAGAATACTCACCGAGCCCTATTTCATATTTTATGGCATTAGAAGTGAGTTGCGTGTGTGCATGCCCTAGTCTGCTATGCATTTGATTGGCATTAATTCCATGTGTGATGATAACCCATGCATGCAGCTGCTGCACTGATTCTTCACTACCTTTGTGATCAAGTCTTAGTGAATAAGTAACCTCAATATTAGAAACGTTCTTCTCCATCTGTTGCCTTAACCTTGCCTTTCTCTCTTTCCATTCCTGTCCCGCTCCGTCTGGCAGTCGCCATGTATCTGGGGATCAGCAGAAAGATGAAGGGAAAGATGGAAAAGACGGGAAACCCCGCTCTCTCCGTTTCACCTGGAGTATGAACACCACCAGCACCATGGAGCCAGCCGACATCATAAATGAGATCCGCAAAGTTCTGGACGCCAACAGCTGCAGTCACCAGCAGCGCGAATGCTTTCTGCTCCTCTGTGCCCACGGGGACAGCTGCACCGACAGCCTTGTCCAATGGGAGATAGAGGTTTGCAAACTGCCCCGGCTCTCACTTAATGGTGTCCGTTTTAAGAGGATATCTGGCAACTCCATCGCTTTTAAAAACATTGCTTCCAAAGTTGCAGGCGAACTCAAGCTATGAATATATCTTTAATCTAGCTACATGGAATTTATGAAATGGTTTGTTTCAATATAAACAAACAAATTAAGCTGTACAATCATAAAGTAGCAGTTTCGGAAGATTTTTTTTTTTTCCCTCAAACCACTTAGATGTATTTGAAAAAATGTATATACTTTAACTTTGCTTAAAGCAATAATTTCTTAACATCAGTCACACCGTTATCGTATTATCGTGCAAGTCGGTAAATGCTGTAAAAAGAACTTCTCAGTGTTAAGATTGTATGATGCTCTGAGAATGTTCAGAGGGACTCATTGCCATCGCCATCATTTCAGACAGATGAGTTGAGGCTGATCATTGAGACAATGGACACTAGATGGAGATTTGTGGGGTTTTGTTTTAGCTTTTTAACAGGCACTATTCTGTGGTGGTTTTAAGTATTGTGTGTTTTGGGTGGCTCTTGTGTAAAGGGTTTCGCCCGAATCTTGAGTTGCTTTTTGAAAATTTGCTCTGCGCCTCTATGTATTGAGGGTGCTCGTCTGTGAAAGCGGCTGCAGTAAACCTGATTTGAGCTCAGTTTCACTGTTCGAATGTTA